ATTTTTAAAAACTAATTTATAGTACAACTAATATGTGCCATGTATTGTATATCTATCATTATCATTAAATCCTCAAAAAAAAAAATGCTACAGGACACTAATCACTTTTTTTTTTTATTATTTGACTGGTAGAGTCATAGACAGTGAGAGAGAGAGACAGAAAGGTCTTCCTTCCATTAGTTCACTCCACAAATGGCCGCCACAGCCAGCGCTGCGCTGATCTGAAGCCAAGAGCTAGGAGCCAGGTGCCAGGTGCCTCCTCCTGGTCTCCCATGCAGGTGCAGGGACCCAAGCACTTGGGCTATCCTCCACTGCCTTCCAAGGCCACAGCAGAGAGCTGGACTGGAAGAGGATGCAACCAGTACTAGAACCCGGCGCCCATATGGGATGCCAGCACCGCAGGTGGAGGATTAACCAAGTGCTGACCCCTCTAATCACTTTCTTTTACATACTAAGATACTTAAAGAAGTTTGTGAAACAACAAAGTTAAAAGCTATGTTTAGGCCGGCACCGCAGCTCACTAGGCTAATCCTCTGCCTTGCGGCGCCAGCACACTGGGTTCTAGTCCTGGTTGGGGTGCCGGATTCTGTCCCGGTTGCCCCTCTTCCAGGCCAGCTCTCTGCTATGGCCCGGGAGTGCAGTGGAGGATGGCCCAAGTCCTTGGGCCCTGCACCCGCATGGGAGACCAGGAGAAGCACCTGGCTCCTGCCTTTGGATCAGCGCGATGCGCCGGCCACAGTGCACTGGCTGCGGTAGCCATTGGAGGGTGAACCAATGGCAAAAGGAAGACCTTTCTCTCTCTCTGTCTCTCTCTCTCACTGTCCACTCTGTCTGTCAAAAAAAAAAAGAAAAAAAAAAAAGCTATGTTTATCTTAGTGCAAAAAACTTTTTAAATCCATGCATAGCTTTTTCATAACACAGAGTTTTCATAACCTCACATGTGCGTGGATTTCAAACACTTTTTGCACCAAAGAAAATTTATCTTTTAATTCCATTTTCCATGAACTTGCTGAAGCACCCTCTTATTAGGAAATCTAAGCTCAAGGAATTTAACTTCCCCAAGCTCACCAAACCTCCGAAGGAAGCTAGCATTGGAAGCCAAATTGAAAGGTTTGTCTGGGGCCAGTGTTGTGGCACAATCAGTTAACCACTGCCAATGAATCCAGCGTCTCATATGAATGTGGTATATGCCCTGGCTGCTCCACTTCTGATCCAGCTTCCTGCTAATGCACCTGGGAAGGCAGTAGATGATGCTCCAAGTGCTAAGGCTCTGGCCACCCATTTTGGAGATCCAGATGGAGTTCTCGGTTCTTGGTTTCAGCCTAGCCCAGCCCTGGCGATTATGGCCATTGGGGGCGTGAACCAGTGGATGGAAGATTTCTCTGTTTATGTGTGTGTAACTCTGCCTTTCAAAGGAGAAAAAAATTCTTTTTTAAATGAAAAGCAACAAATTTTAAAAATGAAAGGCAAAAGGCTGGCGCCACGGCTCACTAGGCTAATCCTCCGCCTGCGGCACTAGCACCCAGGGTTCTAGTCCCGGTTGGGGCGCCGGTCCTGTCCTGGTTGCTCCTCTTCCAGTCCAGCTCTCTGCTGTGGCCCGGGAAGGCAGTGGAGGATGGCCCAGGTCTTTGGGCCCTGCACCCACATGGGAGACCAGGAGGAAGCACCTGGCTCCTGGCTTCAGATCAACGCAGCGCACCAGCCGCAACACACTGGCTGTAGCGGCCACTTTGTGGGGTGAGCCAACGGAAAAAGGAAGACCTTTCTCTCTTCTCTCTCTCTCCCTCACTGTCTAACTCTGCCTGTCAAAAAAAAAAAAAAAAAAAGGCAAAGTCCATGCATTTGCCATTCCATAGGCAAAGATTCCCAACCCTTCTGCCTATGAAAGCCAAGCCTCAGGCTGCTTCCTTGGCAACTCATCCATGAGAGCATGCACAGAACAGGTTAGCAAAGCTTGAAAAAGGTGTATGTGAGATGGTGAAGAGCTTTGAGAGGCGTCTCGAGAATTCTTGTGCTGATACAGGTGTACTTGGTCCTATCAGGAAACATCCCAGGAGCTACAGCCCTACTTCTGCTTGGTCGACAAGATGCCAAAGATTTGGGTAAGACAACCACCTACACACTCCCATCCAAAGCTTCTTTTTCATCATACTCATTGCCTGAATTTTAAATATTTTTTGGACCCAAACTTATCTTTTAATTCTATTTTTCCATGAACATTTTTATGTACTTTTATATTTTAAGCTTTTCAGGCCATCCAGGCTCTGTCACAATTATTTCTCTCTACTCTCATGGTTGAAACCAACCAACCAACCAAACAAAAAAACCCAGCTATGGACAATATGTAGATAAGTGGTTGTGGCTGTGTTCCAATAAAACGTTATCTGCAAAAATGGGCAGGCTGTCATCTGCCAACCCTTGCTATATGCCTTTGTGGTAGGACACCTTTTCCATACAATCACCTCAAAAAGGTTGACAGGCACTCAGCAGCATTATCAGCTGATGATGATGGAGGATGTCCCAGTTCATTCGGACAGTTCTAAGTTATCAATACCTAGTAATTGGTCCTGGTGTCAATTCCTCCCAGGGGGATTGTTAGTTCTCTCCCAGCTGTCCTGTCCTGCACATTAACCATCCAGACATAACTTGGGTCAACTGGGGAAAAGTTAACACGACTGTGCCACCCCAATAAGAAGAAGTGGCTATACCTGCCTGGAAACCATTTCCCACCATGACCCTATTCTCAATCAGGTGCTGCACAATTCAGAAAGTTCACTTCCATGTCTACCATGTAATCACGGAATGAGGATTATCCCTCTCTCTGGGACTCGGCAGTCTTCCAGAGTTTCAGGAACTAGGGAGACCATTTTCTTTCTTTTTTTTTTTATTTGACAGGTAGAGTTACAGACAGTGAGAGAGAGAGAGAAAGGTCTTCGTTCCGTTGATTCACTCCCCAAATGGCCGCTATGGCCAGAGCTACGCCAAATGGCCATGTGGGTGCAGGGTCCCAAGCACTTGGGCCATCCTCCACGGCCTCCCAGGCCACAGCAGAGAGCTGGACTGGAAGAGGAGCAACCGGGACTAGAACCCGGCATCCATTTGGGATGCCGATGCCACAGGTGGAGGATTAACCTAGTGTGCCACCACACCGGCCCCTAGGGAGACCATTTCCAAATGTTCCTTCCAGCACCAGATACTATAGGCACCAAACCACCTCTCTCTCTCTCTTATCCTATTTGCCTAGGAGTGAGGAGAGTGTGGAGGGAGGTCCTAAGGAGACTGCCTACCAGATGCCTCCACTTGGGTCCACAATCATCAATTCTTTCCTGATTGAAAAACTCCCACAATAAGTGCTAAAATTAACACCCCCTTATTCCTACCAACAGTGATGATTAATACATCGATAGACTTAAAATTTAACATGCACAGACTATCATTAAGCCAGGCATTTATTAAGTACCATATTGACATTGACTTAGCCAACCTTTGACCACAGTCTCTTGAGGGAGAGACCATAATCCCATTTTATAGATGAGATTGAACTGACAGGGGTCATTCACTAAGTGTTGGAACCAAAATACAAACCCCAGTTTTCCCAATTCCCAGTCTATGCTTTAATCACTGCCCTTTTCCACCAAAGATTGTGAGCCAAGGGAATTCCCATGATTTCCTTCTACCACCACCCCCATCCCGAACTTTCAGCTTTTATCAGTGAACGAGACACATGGAGAGGTACTAAGTCACAGAGAAATTCAAAATGCCACATGATTCACACCTGGATCTAGATCAGCCCCAGCACTCCAGCCCCCATACCGCCACCTGTAGGGCAGAGATGGAACACAGGAAAAACCTAAGGCAGGGTGTGGGGGGCGCGGGGATGACAGTGCAATTCATTAACGGCCATGTAAAACTGCCTCTCCATTCAAAGCCCCTTTGTTCCTAGTCTTTACCAGCTATAAGGAAAATATTATATGGTTAAATTCAATAACCAGGCATAAATTATGCCTAGTAATATTTCTCACAACGAAGTCTTGAGCTGTAGAAAGAAATCCTCCCTGATAGAAACCCAGATTTGATTTGTTAACACATTTTCTTGTTTATGAACATTGCATCTTAATTGATAGTAAGTGAATGTTAATGACTTTGGTCTGTATCCATAATAAATAAGCTCTATTATCATTACCTTTCTACAGAGATTTCAGTCAGAGTCAAAACCTAACCTCCGGGCTGGTGCTGTGGTGTAGCGGATAAAGCCACTTCCTGTGGAGCTGGCATCCCATATAGGCACCAGTTCGAGTCCTGACTGCTCCTCTTCCAATCCAGCTCTCTGCTATGGCCTGGGAAAGCAGTAGAAGATGGCCCAAGTCCTTGGGTCCCTGCACCCATGTGGGAGACCTGGAAGAAGCTCCTGGCTCTTGGCTTCAGATTGGCTCAGCCCAGCCGTTGCAGCCATTTGGGGAGTGAACCAGTGGATGGAAGACCTCTCTCTCTCTCTCTCTCTCCCTCTCTCTGTCTCTTCCTCTACCTCTCTGTAACTCTGCCTTTCAAATAAATAAATAAATCTTAAAAAAAAAAAAACCCTAACCTTACTCGCAAGCTCCCCGAAGATCAGACAAGAAAAGGCATCACTGTAAGCAGTTACTTAGAGCCTTGGATATGCATACCAACAGGTCTCTCTAGACTTGAGGTCCAACTTCTTTGTGCTAGCCATTCTTCTTTCAAACTCTTCTGACTGGCATATAGAAAGTAAATCAAAAATTAAAATATACAGTCAAAACTTTTCAGCTAAAAGGATCAACTACTCATGAAAGATGATCCCTGTGATGATAACCAAAGATAATTAAAATTATAAGGGATTAGCCCATTCAGTCTCCTTACTTGATAGGTGTAGAAAGTGAAGACGAGACTGATCCAATGGCTTGCTCAAACCCATAGGATAGGTCGCCGTGGGGCAACCAGGCACATACTGGGTACACATCTAATCCAAGGATGGTTGTTACCTGAATTTCTTATGTTGGTGTTGTTCATTTTGGAGTCCTTGATCACCAAGTGTTTAATCCATAGAGTGGGAGCGGTGATTTCTGAAAAAATATAAAAATAAAAGGAAAGAAAAAAGGTGTGAGCACAGAGAAGTATTGACATGGTATATAACCCAGACTTATTTTTATAGCTTTTATAAAAAGCCTGAGGCACCAAAGCTTCAGCTATCTCATTCCACATCCACCCTGTCCCAACGCCCTCTCCCTTCCTCATGACGGAAGCTCGTCTCCCCACCAGCTCCTAGGAGCCAACCAGAGCATCCTGTGTGGGGAGGCAGAGTGGTCAGAGTGCAGAGGCACCAAGCCACTCCATCCAGGAACAAAAATATTATCCCAGGATGGGAGGGACATGGGCCAAGCCAAGTCCCTCTCAGTTGCTTCCCTGGGAGAAGATTTAAAGGGGATAAATCAACAAATGACCGCCAAACCAACCACAGCGACCATTCTAGAGGAAACAGCTGAGCCACAGCAGATTCATCATGCTGGGACTCTGCCTCAGACAGGGCAGAGACGAGCAGGCCTGTCGCGGTGTCAACCCCCTTCTGACAACCTGTCACGGAACAGAGATGCGTGCCGCTTCCAGGGCGCTCCGGGTGCCTCAGGCCCTCTCTGGACTTGGGTACCCAGTAAGGAGGGCATGTAGCAAATGACGCTGAACATACTTTGGGGTGACAAGATCTTCAGTGAGGGTGTTGGGGAGGTCTCCCACAATGACATGGTCTCCACTCCCCGCTCCAATGACCTTTGTGGATCACACAGACATTTGCACTTGCAAGCACAAACATACAAATACTCCACCAAAGGAGCCAGTGGCAAAGATGGCTCACATATCAATCCTTGTCCCCAAAGCTGAGCCACGCTAGGGACATCCCCGGCCATGGGACTAACCATGGCATAACCTGTTTTTCTCCTCCTGCTTCTCTGTCCAGTCTCAAGGTGCAGGCCCAGATGCACTGAGCTAAGAGCTGCTGAAAGTTTGCTGCATCTCACACCAAGAGCTACACCTTGTGCTTAGATTTTTAAGAGACCTCACTCTGCCAACTTCCTGCTCCTCCCCATGGAGATCTGGGATGCTCAGTCACATACACTCAAGAATACAGGCCCTGAGCAGCTCAGCCTGTCCTTTCTGTCCGCTCCACAGCTGTCCAGGGGCCTCCAGCCTTTATTTTGCCACCAGTCATGCACTATTTCCCTTAACCCAGGATTTCTTCCCTCCCAAATGTATTTTAAGGAAAAAAAAAAGATTTATTTATTTATTTGAAAAGCAGATTTAGAGAGAGAGAGAGAGAAAGAAAGAGAGAGAGAGAGAAGATCTTCCATCTACTGGTTCATTCCCTAGGTGGGCACAACAGCCAGGCTGGCTCCTGGCTTCTACTTGGCCCAGCCCTGGCCATTGCAGCCATCTGGGGAGTGAACCAGTGGACTGAAGCTCTCTCTCTCTCTTTCTCCCTCTCTTTCTGTAACTCTGACTTTCAAACAAATAAAGAAGTCATTAAAAACTATCAAAATCGTAGAATTCAGCACATTAAGCTCTGTAACAGTTGCCAGCATGATAAGAGCGAAGGCTGACATTCATAGACTTCCTTTTCATCCCCAGGGACCTTGCACAGTGCTAGACATGTAAGTGTTGATTCATTTACTAAAGGGACATTCCTGGACATGACCTTGGCAGTTCACAGGGTCTGTCCAGGTTGTGTTGATGTTGGACATGGGGAGAAAGTCAGGAAGCCAGGAGAGAATGGAGGACCTTCCCAGAAGTGGAGAGCGTCTCCATACCTTGGAGAATTTACATTTGTTAAAAGCTTAAAACAACCCAACTTACACTGAGAAAATCTGAAATTTAAAAAAATGAATAATAATAATAATAAAGCTTAAGCAAATATCCAAAGTTAAGACCTCTCCCAAACCTGAAAATGGGTGGGAAAACGAGACCTTGGAGTAAATCAAGGGCTTACCATCTCCATCAAACACCGGCTGGGTCTCCATCGTGGGTGTCGGCTTTGATCCGTCATCTGAATTGAGGGTTAAAAAAAAGCGAAAAGAGACTACCATTATTGAGGTAAATACTATCTACTCTCCAGCACTGTTGAATGGTTGGGGTTTGTACATGGCCCGGCCAAGGCCCAGTGAAGAATCCAAAGAAGAGAAAAGAAAGGAGGCAAGAATAAGAAAGAAAGAAAACCCACAGAGAAACACCAACAATAGAACAATTCCAGTTGTGCGCACACCCTCCCAGGGGACAGAACAAAAAGCAAGCCAGTTTTCACGGCTTTGGGGACCCCTTCTCTGAAGTCGGAGGACACTGGTGTGACTCTGTCAGCCCTGTTGCTCCCCACAGGAGAGCCGGGAGGAGGTACCTTCCCCAGCAGCCCTGAGCTCCAGCCAAGCTTGTTAGAGTAAGGTTGACAATTTTAGGGTATCAAATTCTGATGTCCCCAGTTCTGTTCCTGCCTCTTATGAAAGGGGTCAACTCAGAATATTTTTCTAGTTTCCTTGATTGAAACGAGCTTAAGACAAACGAGAGACTTGGGTGCTATTCCTTTCCAAACTCCAGCTGTTTCTCCACCCTCACCTAAAGAGGATGAGAAGGTAGGAATGACCAATCTCGGTCCAGCATGATGAACTGAAGAGGTTCAGGAATCCTTCGAACCTTTCTGGCAACGGAACAGCATGCACCCCAACTCCTAGTACAAGGTGCAGGCAAGCAAAATGGGAAATTGCAGCTATTCCCTACGCTTGCTTTGAAATTTCTGACACAGGTGGTGGGAGCAGAGAGTTCTCAGTAACAAAGTTCTAATGCTTACCACTCCAGCACTTTGACAGCTCTCTGCAGAGCAGGGACCTCTGCAGGTCAGAATTAGCATGGCCTTTGTTTATAGGCCTCCCAGGACTCTGAATTACTGTCACTAAGGCCCCAAAAACCTCAACTTAAAGCACGGTTCCCAATCTTCTTTTCCATTATTGTACTTATAAGAGGCATTCTGTAGACAATTTTTTTCCTGATCACCTCCCTAACGAAATTTCCATATGACAGCTAAGCTGCATCATCTCACGTGATGTGTGTGAGTGTGTGTGTCTGTGCATGTGCACGTGTGCATGCTTTGTGTGTGAAGAGTAAATTTTCTCCCATCCATCGAGAAACAATTTCACCCCTTGGTGAAGGCTGAGAGCGGGGATCTTCACCCATCTTGAGAAAACCCGGCTTAGAGATTTCCCTCTGTTTTCTCCCTCAGGGTTAGGAGCGGAGAAGGAGAGCACTATTGTTACTGTTGTCCCAGAAGGTTTGATGATCTCACCATCGTCCTCTTCCCAGCCCACTCCCCCCTCGGAGGTCTTGGGAACGGAACTATTTATGGAGAATGCAAGTTCTCAAGTAGACTCTGTTGGCAGTCGGAGATGGTCAGTAACATCCCTCCCGGTGCCTCTGGCTGACCACCCTGCATCTTATCTGGAAGGGGTAAGATGAATCAATCTTTCTTGACTCAAGATCTCACCGGGATCTTAAGATTCAAGAGCTGTAGAAACTCCAACCCTGGCTGGAGGCAGAGGCGAACAACCTAACAATCATGTGAAAGTATCATTGGCTGACACCAAGACCCAGCTCTCCAAGCGGACCCAGTGATCCTGAACTGACAATCATCCCCAGGAGAGAGGTGTAGCATCCACAGAGGGGTGACTAAGCTGGATATCTTATTTGCCTCAAACTGGAGTCCAGAGCAGGCACCTTTAGATGCCAGACTGTGTGAGTTTGATCTGGAGGTCACTGAGGAGGGATACACACAGCAGAGCCACACAATATCATTTTTAAAATCGCATCACTTCCCCGACTCCATTAACACCTCTTTCCATTGAATTCAAGGAGCCACTGAATGGAGTCTTTTGGCAGCTGCAAGGCACACTTGGTTGCTCCTGCCGGATGCAGAGTTCACAGCGTAAATAACCCAGCACAGTATGCTCAGCCCTCCACCCTGGCTGGCTTCGTCTTAGGAGTCTTACAGGCTTACAAAGGACAAGTGAGAACTCAAATATCTCAAGACAGACAACGGTGAGAACTTTGTTGCGAAATGGCTTATGCAATATTTTAACATTCAGTATAGACATTAAAATCCTCCTGTATTTCAAAAGCTGTGTGTCTCTCTGGAACAAGATAACTGAAAACATCCCGCCTTTTGCTCCTATCATCCAGATACCCTTCTGGCCCAGCCATCAGCATCGGAGGTCGGTGCTCCAGGAGATCACGGTAGTTTCCTAGGGAAGCCCTCACTCTGCAGGTGTTGACTTCCACAGCATGCCCAGCTGCAGGCATGGAAGCCCAGGGAGCACGAAGCCACCTACAGAGAGGGAGTCCTCCTGCAGGGTAGGGTCACCGAGGGTCACAAGATACAGCTGCTCTGCCACAGGGAGGCCCGAGGTAGAAATCTTTACGAAGTGAGAAAAGACAAGACGCCCTGCTGCCAGGAGCCACCTGTGATATCCAGCAGGCCCAACGGCCAGGAGGCCAGGCCAAAGCCAACAGGGCCCTCTAGCCATCATCTCCGGGCACCTGGACACCTGGCTTCTGACCCAGCAAATAAGCACACCTCTTCTCCCCAGCAGAGGTCCAGGGCCTGGGTCCAAGGTCCACATCAGTTCTGCTTCCAGGCAAGCCTTGGAGCAGCCCCAGGCCCCACACCAGGCCCTGGAGAGAGAGAGTAAAGTTCTCTATGTGCTCCTGGCCCCACAGTCTCAAGTGGGATCACACCGATTCCTGCTTTACATCCAATAAGCTGGGTAACCCAAACCCCTCAGTTTACTTTTCTGGGCAGCAACATAAAAGATGAAAGATGCCTGCCTCCCAAGTTCCAGGACATTGTGTAGGTGTAAAAGCCTTTAAAGACCTACTAAAGGGAGTATATAATTCCACAAGTCTTAGCCATCTTACTCAACTGCTTATGTTCAAATTTGGATTTATAAAATGAAATCTAATCAAAGCTTTAAAATTAAATTATAAACCCAGTAAGATGACAAACAGCCTTACCTTTAAAATGGGAAAACTATTTTAATACACATTTCTCCCAAGAAGATTTACGGATACATAAATACATGACACGTGCTCAACATCATTAGTTGTTAGGGAGAGACAAAGTAGAACCACAGTGAGATATAACTAACCACCCACTGGAATGCTCACCATCAAAAACATAGATAACATCAAGTGTTGGCAAGGATGTGGAGAAACTGGAACCTTCCTCCATCACTGGTGGGAACATAAAATTGGGCAGACACTTTGGAAGTGTCTAGAAATTTCTTTCAAAAGCTAAACATAAACTTACCAGTCAACCCAAAAGTCGCACTCCTAGAAATCTCTCCAGGGGCAATAAAAAGGTGTCCACACAAAGACAGGGATACAAATAGTCATAGCAGTATTCCAAATGCCTCACACGGAAAGCAATCTAAACACCTGGCAGCTATGGATTGGCGCACTGTGAAGTATTCATCCAGGAATACTATTCAGAAATTAAAAGAAATGACAGTATACGAAGAACCTCATAAACACTGTGCTAGGTGAAGCTCAGAAGCCAGAGGCAACTGCTCCGTGGCATCCAGTCGCATTCATATGGAACGTCTAGGGAAGGGGAACCTACTGGGGCAGAGGACTGATCTCTGACTGATTTTCTGGGGCTGGGCTAGGAGTGGGGTGCAATCGTAACTGGGCTCCAGGTTTCTTTTGGGGATGGTGGAAATGTTCTCTGGCGATGGCTGCATGGCTCTATAAATTACTAAATTCCATATTGAGCAAATTTTATGGTAAGTAAATTATCCTTTAATAAAGCCGTTAAAACAAAAAGGAGAGGGTTTTAAGGTTATCACAAGTAACCATCAGGGAACAGAAACCCCTTACACGGTGTGGGGGGGGGGGCTCTCACACATATTTGAATGAAAGATATCTGAATCTTAGTTTACACAGATACATATGACGATTTGGTGCCTGATGCTGATTCTTGGTGATTCTTCTGGACCTCAAACAGGAAGGCTTTATTTCTCTTTAATACCATAATGCTCTCCCAGACTAAAGGAGACAGAGCTCCCAGAACAATCAATTCAAAGGCTAGTTTAAAAAAAAAAAAAAAAAAAACACCAGGGCAAGAGAAACAGAAGTAAATCTGGAAACACTGAAATAAAGAAAGAAGGTAAACTTGAAAGAATTTCTCAAGGATGATGTCAAGATTAACAATAAATGTAATAAACATAATAAATGTAATAAACATAATACACAATAAACATTTTGCCGTGCTCCGCTCCTGGCAGGTGGCTCTCCACATCTATTCTCACCACCATCAAGGCAGAGGATATCGCCACACAGATAAAAAAAATAACTGAGTTTCAACACAAGCAGTGATTTGCTCAAGGCCTCAACAGCAGCGAAGCAGCTCTGGAAACTGCCCAGACCCAGAGCCTTGGCGTTTGTCCTTCCAAGATTCCCCAGCCCCCACCAGGCCTTGTCCTCGCAGGTGCAGGCCCAGAAAGTCGCGGCCCCTGCAAGGGCTCTGGGAGCCTATACAGACAGTGGGCTTGTGTGACAGCACAATTCCTTGCCCTGCGAGGAGGCCTGGCCCACGCACAGACAGCTGGAAGTCACTTCGACCCCCGATGACACTGTTCAAAGCCTCCTCTGTTTGGCTTTTTGATTCCTGATTGACGTTCGCTGGCTAGGGGAGATAAATGCGGGGCTGAGGACAATGTTGATCCGCTCTGACTATTCTCAGGGAAAGACTTTTCAGAATAACAAACAAAACAAAACAAAACCCCAAAAACATTGGTGTGCTTAAGGCACTGAATAGAGCCGGAGAGGTCCAGGGACGCAGGGCCAGCCCTTTCAAGGGGCTGGCAAGTCCATTGAGGAGTTAATTGTTTGGGTGTACAATGAGTTTATTCTGACCACAAACAAAGAGCTTTCTCTTCCAGGTCCTTCAAAAGCAAGTGTGTCAAAGGGGCCAGAGGAGGAATCCGTATTAATGGCATCTCTTGGGGTCTCCGAGATGGAGGAGCCTTGGAGAATGAGGGA